ACTGCTGTGTTGCTTACAATTATCTGAAAGAGAAGTTGGGGTGCTTCTTGCCCAGGCTGGAAAAGTTTAGCTAAATCAGAAAGTAGGTCTAATTAAGCAAGTTTATCTATATATATATATAAGGCTAATTTGACTCTCACATGCGCAATACAGTGGGGCCTTGACTTACGAGTGTCCCGACTAATGAGTTTTTTGAGATACCAGCTGTCTCTCGGCCGATTTTTTGCATTGAGTTGATAGAGTAATTTGAGTTAACGAGCTCCTTAACGAGCTCAGTCTTGGAACGAATTAAACTCATAAGTCAAGGCCCCACTGTACATATAAAGCTCTCACTGGTGCCAATCGCACACGTGTGTTTCAATCTGTCATTGTTGATCATGAATTTTGTTGACACTACTATTATAGAGAAAGGGCGAGTAGCGATATTAAAATATTTCTTCTAATTAATTTCCTTTCAATGTGCATGAATCCGTGCACGGGGTCACTAGTATTTAGAATAAAAACTTTTAAGGGAGAAGAGAAAGAATTATTATTCAAGATCTATCTTCTGCTAAAGTCTTGTGATACTAAATATTGCAAAAGGCTGGCATCCTTGTTGGCTTTCCCTATTTAATCTTGTTTTGTAGATTCTGGAAGTTCCTAACAATGCATCTACTTACTTCTATTCAAAGTTGTCAGTGGGTAAATAGACAAAGCCAAATAACGGTCAGCAAAAATGACAAAAGAAAAAATAGTACCATGTTACATTTAGTTCAAACTCCACTAAATCAGAATTTACAAAAGAGGCTCTTCAAAGCAATCAAATGGGAACACAACGAGGCTGTCAAGTCCATGAGTTAATTACTTATCACTGATTTCCTAGCATAGACAAATACTCATTCAAGAAATATTTATTGAGCAAGCAAAATATATATAATAAAAACTTTTAAATGCTGTGAGTCATAAGTTCAATTGTTTTACTCAACAAAACACAGGGGACACAGGAAAAAAAAAAGAACACTATTCCTACCTGAACAGAATCTTAGTTTAGCAGAATCAAAGGTAAGCTTGAGTATACTGTGTTTTGTTTTGTTTTTTACTCAAAAGAGCCTCATTTTTTATAAATTTAGCTTTGGTTCTGTGCTTGTGCCTTCCATACGTTCAACAATTCCCTGCGCCTCAGTGAGGAAAGCACACCTGACCTGTCACATCCAGCACAGGGGACCCACCACAGGCCCCGCTGGCATGTGTTTTCGTTTTAGACAACAGCATTAGAACTTCAGGTCTCACCACAGGAATCCCTCGAACTCAGCCAGGGCACAGGCCCCATGCAGATTCTGGTGCTCTCCCAACCTTCCTGGTATAAAGGTAAGCAATTCTACTAACCAGGGTTTCAGGACAGCCTAGTTTTTGTTAGAGGTTGTACTGGAGGACAGCCTTGGACAATATGTCAAATGCTGGACCCTGTAAATGCCTGAAGACACCATCCCCGGAAGAGCTCTTATCTGATTTTTTTTAAAACAGGAAATCTCCCTTGCTCACTTTCTAAGAAGCTGCAGATCAGCTCAGGCAATTGATGAGCATCCTGCTCTAAGTGAAAGTAACTGATCTGCCATTTGTGAAACAGGACTGTCAATTGTCAGTAGCATCTACATTAAATATACTGAACAAATGAAAAGCATTGAACTACTTCATTTACCTATATACATAAATCTACAAACTCTTCAAATTTGGAAAACTACTTCATGGTTTTCAAGTAGATATTTTCTACAACTTACTAAAAAGTACCTATTTATTCATTTAACAAATATTTACTGAATGCCTGTTTTGTCCCAGGCACTGTTCCAGGTGCTAGCAATGGAGAGACAAAAACTCCCTGCCCTCATGGAGCTCATATACCAGGGGAAGGAGATAGGCACAGAAATAAATGTCATGTTAAATAAAAGTACAAGCAAAGAAGAGAGTGAACAAAGGGCAGAAGTATGTTACTACTTTACATAGATCAAAAAGGGGTCATCAAGACGGTGACATTTGAGAAAAAGCCTGAAGGAGGTAAAGATCCAGTCACACAACTACTATCTGGGAATGAGTGCTTCTGGCAGAAGGCACAGGCAATGCAAAGTAACAAGGTCCTGCGGCAGAAGTATGCCTGGTATGTTGAAGAAAAGAAGGTTAAGTGGCTGCAGTAGAATGAGTGTGGGAGAGGGAAGAAGTAGAAGCTACATCACTTGCAGCCTGTAGGCAATATGAAGTCTTGAGTGTTCTGAACAGAAAGGTGACATGATCTGACTTAGATTTTTAGCCCTGGCCAGTAGCTCAGTTGGTTAGAGCATCATCCTGATGCACCAAGTTTGAGGGTTCAATTCCCAGGCAGGGCACATACAAAAATCAACTAATGAAAGCATAAATAAGTGGAACAATAAATCAATGTCTGCCGAAACCGGTTTGGCTCAGTGGATAGGGCGTCGGCCTGCGGACTGAAGGGTCCCAGGTTCGATTCCGGTCGAAGGCATGTACCTGGGTTGCGGGCACATCCCCAGTGGGAGATGTGCAGGAGGCAGCTGATCAATGATGTTTCTCTAATAATAAATCAATGTCTGGATCTCCCTCCTCTCTCTCTCTCTAAAAAAAGTTAATAAAAAAGATATAGACTGTATGTTGTATATATCAAAAAGGTTTAAAAGTATAAATACCAGATATATATTCAAAATGATTAGACAATTTTAAGTTTCTTTGTATTTTCTAATAATCTTTCAACAATGCGCATGTATTCTATGGCTTTTATTAAATAGGAGTTTTAAATCTTAATATAATTTCAGTGATTACATTTTTATGAAACTAGCTGGGAATAAGCCATGACTCTATTATCTCCTTATAAACCTTTCAATGCAATTTTTAATGACTTCTGGAATATCTTTGTTGATAGAAAGAAAAAAAAGGAAGCCATTAATGATAGTTCTCCTGGTATTCAAAAGAGAAATAATTCAGATAAAATATTAAGGTAAATTCCTAATTTCTGTTCTGAACAAATCCATGTTATTGGATAATTTTGCTCCATATCCCAATAATGAGCAATGGAATTTTACTATGTATGTGAATTATCACTCACAAAAATCAGTAACTTTCTTTTATCTAAAAAATAGGGAAAAAATGTAAATACAAACAAGATGGTTTTTCAATCTTAATTAAGGAAAGTAACAACTATAAATTTATTTCATCTACCAAAATATTAAAGCAAATATAAAATTCTTCGCCCTAGTGGGTAGCTCAGTTGGTCAGTGTCATCCAAATTTGCAAGGTTGTAGATTTGATGCCCAGACAGGGCATAAGAATCAGCCAAGGAATGCATACATAAGTGGGACAACGAATGGATGTTTGAATCGATGTTTGTCTCTCTTTCTCTCTCTCTAAGAAACAATAAATAAATTAAAAAATAAAATTCTTCTATTTGTAAAGCTGTAGATTCTAAGTTAATCAAAAATGTGTGTAGTTTTTTAAATTTCTGGACACTTCCTAGATTAGGCATAGATGTTTACATTAATAAATGATGAAAAGAAACATTGGTCTTACATGTATCTCAAAAAAAATCTTTAACGATTACTAAGTTCTTTTTTTATAATCAGGTAAGTATCAGCAAATTATAGTCATAACTTTCTATCATCACATTTTAGAAAAAAATTGTTTCTAGAGATTGAATAAAACAAAAACCTAAAATTTTACTACAGATGATTTTGAAGTTTCTGTTAACCACATTAGTAACATGGACAACTACCACTTACAATCCTGCTCTGCTTTCCCTGTAGATGTTTGTGCTCATACAATGTCTGTTCACTTCTAATGCTGATAATATATCTGAAGGATATTTTTATAACACAGAAACAATTTAAAGAGTACAATGGTTTTCAGAAAGACTACACAATCATTTCCCTCCTTTGTCAATTTCACACACTATAACCCACATTTAGAACATACTTATTTTTCTTAAATTTTGGATACCCCTTTGCATAAAACCAGCTACTTAACACATTGTGCACCAGTAGTTTTATTGCCCAGTGGCCAGATAAGTTTCTATGGAACAAGTACGAAAAACGTTTTACAAAATATCATACTTTAAAAAGACATTAGCTTGTAAGAACATGTAATAAATAACTTCAAAATGCAATGGGTATTTAATTTTAAGGCATGCCTTTCGCATTTATGTAAAACACTATGTAATATGAAAACACGAGAATGCCCGTGATCCGCCCGCAATGTTAAAAACACTGAGCAAAAAAACTGTTACCTTTTGTTACATATGATCAACAGATCTGTCCTTTTTCTGCTTTACAAACAAAAATTACATTTCCACAAAATAAAATCAGTGTCGGGTTAGTTAAACTAGTGGTTAGGGCATGATGCTATAAGGCTAAATTAACCACTTGGTCACTGATCCCACCAATTAACTGTCATCTATTGCAGGGTCAGAGGCAGCATCAAAACCCCTGCTGGTCAATTCTTTGGATTGCAAGGACAGCCGGCCAAACGTGCAGCTAGGTCAGCACAAATCACTATCATCATGTTCTATTTATCAACTTTACAACAACAGTTCATGTAAGAGCTGCCATCTGGAAAGAACACCAACAATATACCCACTGGATCCTACAACAGATGAGAATCTAAGGTAAAAATGTAAAATCTTTTTTAGATGCTAAAACTGAACAAATATTTTAAAATCCAAATCCACTTCTATTAATCAATATTTATACTTTGAATTTCAAAATGCCACCACTAAATTCTGAGTCCCCCTGCTGAGACAGGGTGTGTAGGTATAGAAAGACAACCATCACTGATCTCTTTAACCTCTCAGCTTTGTTAATCCAGGTACTTGCACCTTTACGTAACAACTGTAACCTACGAGGAACTATACCTTGAAATTACAATAAAAATTATCTTCCAAAGAGAGACAAATCTGTTTCTTCCCTTTACTCACTGATAATTAAGCTTAACTACAAACTGTTGCCCACCCTCAATTTCTCTCTGACCTTTAACTCTTTCCAGTAGCTCGCTGCCCACGCCAATAAAATGACCCCTTCAGTGCCTCTCCTGCAGGATGTGAATTCCCTGAGACAGCACAGCTGCTTCCAATCCTCCTCCCACCTGAAGTCCATCACAGAGCATAAGCTGCACAGCATACAGTATTTATTAGCTCACAGAGCAGCTTCTCCTACTAACTGCACTATGCAATTCTGCAGACACTAGGTGCCTATCAACCCTTGACACAGGGCCAGGCCATAGGCCACAGAACACTTCTGACTACATTTAGTGGAAATTGAGCAACTGAACCTTTGAATCTCTCCTACCCCACTCAGTATCAGAAAAGCACCCTACAAACATGGACAACTGTATTTTTTGTATGAATCTCTGACCCAAGAAAATCCAAGAAATATTCTTGGGTCAGAGCACCAGCCATACTTTCAACTGCCTCTTTGGATTGTGCCTGGTTCATTCTACAATAAAAATATTCTCTACAAGATAATACAGAGTTCATTGCATTGCAAGTAAAATCTCACAATACCGTCCTTGATTGACCACGTGGTCCTTACGAAATTTATGAACCTACACATTTTAACACCTTTTTAAAAAATTTAAACTAAGACTTGAGAATGCTTCCCAATATCTGATGTTAAAAAGGAGAAATGGAGATGTGGGCGGGGGGGGTGGGGGGGAGACCCTAGTGTAGGAACAATTTAACCTACTTCTTCCATTTCCACCTTCATGCCAAGTGAATTTAAGTGGGAAGGGGAAAAAATGGAGGTAGACCCTGTGATTCAGAAGCAACCATAAAGAAAACAAAAGATGCTGAATTTCCAACCTGTGCGTTTTAACCTATTCTTTCAAATAATTTTCAAAGGATTTTTTTTTAACCCACAGAGTCGTTGGCCTCACCCAGGCGCAGCGGCGCCTAATCGCACTCAGCAGCCCTGTCCTCCCTGCCGCAGACGCAGCGCTCGCACAGGGTCCCTACGCCGGCCCGGCACCACGGGGACATGGAAGCCTGAGGACCAGCCCCGATGCGCTCAGCCACAGTCACAATCCCGTTCCCACCGGAAAACCAGTGACCGAGCCCAGCGGGGTGGGGGCGGGGAGGGGATCCCGCAGCTCCGCGGCCCCGCAGGGAGGGAAGCAGCACAACTTCCAACAGGAGACAACTGCTCTTCCTGCATCCCGACGAGAAGCGGACACACAGCATCCCCCCAACCCCCCCCCCAACGATGCTCCGCTATTGATTTCTGTCTCTCCAGAGTGCGGTGCAGGGCAGACCTCCCCTGCAGGGGCGGGGCGTACTCTACTGCCGTGAACTGTGAAGGGCAGCCCATTAGTGGGTCACGAAAACAGTTGAAAGTGGGTCACAATCTGCATTTTAAAAGCAGAAATGAAAATAGAAACATCAGAGTGCATTGTATGTAGCTAGACTAAACATTGCTGAGAAGTCCCCCCTCTATTTTACACACACACATACACACACACGCGCGCACACACACACACACACACACACACACGCGCGCGCGCGCACGCACGCAGAGGCATTCACATCAATAGAAAACGGAGGCACTTCGCTTGGCAACGGCATCGCTCCTTCTAAAACACCCTCCAGGGCCTGAGGGCGGGGGGGAACCATCACTCCCCAACACCCCTGCCGCCCAGGGGAGCAGGATTCTGTCAAACAGAAAATGCCACCGTCCGCTCCTCCCTCTGCCCCCGACACACGGACCGGCACCGCGTGCGGGGGCGACCGAGGGCAGAGGAGCGACGAGGCGGGGACACCACACACCCCCAGTTCGCGGCTTTTAAACGTGTTTTTTAAAGCTGCACTGTCCTCCAACCGGAGGGTTCTCGCGC